GCCGCAGTCGGGGCATTCGTGGGGGCGGTCGCCGGTGTGGATCTTCTGGTGCTTCACCAGGGCTGACTTGTGGCTGAAGCTCTTCCCGCACTCGCCGCACGTGTTGCTGGGTTGGCTCTCGACGGGGCGCGGGGCTGTCTCCCCTGGTCCCCCGCTCCTGCCCGCCTTCGCCCCCGCCTCGGCGGGGCGCAGGGGGTGCTCCTCACCGGTAGGTTTCATTTCGGGCTCTTTCTCAGCAGCTTCTTCTCGAGGGGGTTCCCGCTCCGCTCCTGCTCCATCCTCTGTGGGGCAGAAAGAGAGACAGACACAACCCAAGCAGGAGACATTGTCCCTCTGGGCTGGGAAGACAGGAAGGTGGTAGGAAAAGGAGAGCAAGGAGGGATTCCTCCTCCTTTTTTATTTCACACACTCTTCCAGGTAAGCACAGAGGCATCTCTGCTCCCCATCGCTCCTCTCTGCCACCAACATGGACGCGGGAATTAATCCACCACCTCCATGGGCCACTCCAGAAATGCGGCTGCCGAGGAAGGGTGGGTCCGGCATTTCCATTTTGGCCAGGACACCCCTCTGGCATTACAGTCTCTCCTCCCCAGCACCTTTTTTTCCGTACCACGGCCAACCTGGGGCTCACAGCCTGCGGTACGGCGGCAACCATTACGGTGGGGCTTTCCCCATTTTGGGGAGAGGTCAGCGGAGAGGGGGAAGCCCTCTACGCTTGCAGGAGCCGAACCCAGGTTTTACCCCCACTGTGGCTGAGGTGCAATCGGAGGCTCACCTGCAGCTGGGGTGTCCCTGGGCACGTGGAGATCCAGGGCTGTTGGTTCATCCCCATGGTCCAGGCGGGACAGCAGATCAGGCTTGGAAACAGGGAATTCTGGAAAAAGAGAGGAGGGATTGAGCAACATGCGTCAGGAGGGTCTGCCCTCCCCAGCAGCCCCCCCCGACCCCGCCACCCCCTCCATGAAGATGTGAGGATCCAGCTGTGCCCGATTCCCCCACCCACCCCAAATTTTCTGCTGCGGGAGGGGTAGGCTCCTCACCCAGCGCCATCAGCGTCTCATAGCTCTCCTGCATCACGTCGCGATACAGTGCTCTCTGTCGCGGGTCCAGCAGCACGTACGGCTCCATGGTTGGTGCCACCAGGCCCCCTGAAAGAAGGAGGCGACCCCCCCATAAGCAGACCCCGGCGTGCAACCCATTGCCAGCCATCCTCCTTCAGATTTGCAGCCGTTGGTTGGACTCTTCAGGCAAACCCCTCTATTTTAGTAACCTGTGGGTTCTCTAATAATCTAATAGATTATTATTCTCTAATAAGATGATAGAAAGGCTGAGCTGAATTACAAAACGGGGGTAAAGCGTGGGGACAGGCAGCTGTTGAAAACTGTCCCCAATTTTCCAAACAACTCACCCCACCCCCCAAAAAAAACCCCCCCGTAGCAATCGCTCCTCCTTCTCAAAGAGGATAAATCACCCCGGTATTTCTCCACGCAAATCTCCAGCGCTCAGAGCCTGCGCTTGGGGAGCAAACATGAGTTTTCCCAGCTGCAGGAAGAGGGTTTGGTGCTCTGCTTTGCAAAAAATCATTTAAAAGCAAATTACCACCACTCCCCCCTACCCTTCCTCATCCTCCTTGGTGAGTAGCGGGCGTATTAGGATCCCAATGCGTAGGGTGGTTTATTTGATTTGATTTTTTTTTTTTTCTAGCAGCAGAGCTGTTACAGCTGTGGAGGACAGAGCAGGTAGGTTGGGAAAAGGTGGATTTGCAGAAGGTTGTCACCAACTTACTGATGCCAGGAATATATAAGGGTGATTTCAGGCACGGACTGCAGATCCCTCCTGCGATTTTCGCCTTTTTTTTATTTTCTTTGGAGCCCCCACCAGCATCTCAGCCAGCTTCATTTATTCCCCGATAGTTTGCCATCCTGCTAAAAAAATAAAAATGAAGGGGTCAAAACCCACCCCCCCAAATGAAGCAAGGAGGGAAGGACAGACGCCTGCGGAAAGACAATGGGGCTGAGGTTTTGGTGGGGTTTGGGGGGTTTTTTTATTATTATTTTTCCCCCCTCCCCAGGGACAGAGAGCATCCGGGCACCGAGTTTAAGCCTGGTATGCGTGTGGGCACCCTGGGGAGGAGAGCCGGAGGGGACGGGAGGCGAGAAGAAGGGAAGGATGGAGGGGGAAAGGAAAGGGATGGGGGAAAAAAAAAAAAAAAAAAAAAAAGGTGCCATTTTCCACTCCCTCTCCGCATCCAAAGACCGAACCTCCCCGTTACCTGCAGTCTCCGGCTCGGGAGGTGCTGTCGGCAAAGCCTGGAGATTCCCCCCTCAATACTTTTTTCCCCACAGAAAGCCCCTTTTCCCCCAAAAATATGGGGTAGGGGGGCAGCAAGGGGGATGGCGAGGGCCACAGGGAGCGGGTCAGCACGGTGCGGCGGCCGCGGTGTGACCAGGGAAGCCCAGTCCCTTTGATATCCCGAGCGCTTTCTGTGTCTTTGCATACACAGGGGAACTAAAGAGTGCATTCAAGTCACAATAAACAAAGGAAAAAAAAAAAAAAAAAAAGAGGAAAGGAAAAAGAGAGGGGAGAAAAGAGCTCTGCACAATTGCCAGGGCCCTCTGGTGGCAATAGTGACGGCGTCCCTGGGCGGAAATTAAAAAAAAAACCCACCTTGCAAAGTGAAAAATGCTCACTGGTGTCCCTGTGAGGTGTTTTTTTCTCAAAATGTGGAAAAAAGGACAGTTTGGGGGTTTTTCTGCCCCTCTGTGGGGATGGGGACGTGCCTCCGGGAGACATTTTCCTCACGGAGAGCTGTGGCGGTGGAGCTCCTTGCTGCTGGCCGGAAGCGCAACCGCATAAATTTATTGGTGATAAACCCATTAGGGACCACTCTTAGGGCCAAAAATCCTAAATTTGGAGCTGGGGATGAATACTGGGGGATGTTTTAGCACGGCTGGACTGAGGGGACCGACCTGCCAAGCTGCACAAATTCTCCCATGGCAGCGTCCATCCCAATTCTTCACAGCGGGGATAGGGTCTGGTTTTGGAGGTAAAAGGGGGGTTTTAGGTCAACAGGGGTGGCTGCCTGCACGGCGGGGATGTCAGGGCAGCAAGGAGCATGGCTCAAACGTGTTTAAGAGCCCCATGAGGGGGTTGGGGCTCACAGATGCCTCAAAAAATGGCTCTGCCCCTCCCTGGGCCACAGCGGCCCTTTTGGGGGGCTTTGCCCCCTGTCGGGGCTCGTCACCATGGCAACACCAGCTGGCTGCCCTCACCCAAGATGGACCCCAAGGCTTCACCCCCCAGGGGCCATCTTAAGCAGGGCTGGCCCTGCATCAAGGGGAAGGCCGCAGCCATCTCACCCCGATCGCCCCACGCTGAGGAGGAGGCTGCAGCCATCTTCCCTCTGGCCCTGCCTGAGGGCGAAGCTGCCATTTTGGAAGAGGGCAGGGGCCGCCCTTTTGGAAGGGGGGGCAGGGCGG